TTCTGAAGCTTTAATTGGAGACCCGCTAGGATCTGCGCAGCATTAAACAAATATCAGCTAGGTTCACAAAAGGGCTTTAATATCCCGAAGGGACGCCCCCAACATCCTCGCGAGCGCCAACCTCCGCCCCAGGGTATTGATTCAGCCTCTTGCGCATATCACGAATTATCGGATCCATGCACAGGGCCCGCGTTGCGCGACTAAATGGGTCACCCCGCATGACGCCCGACTCAATGCAGCAAACGAAAGAACAGAGGCCTTGCAAAACACAGAAGCGGCGGCGAATGCATAAGTGGCACGAGTGAAATGCCGAAAGCCGAGAGGGAGATTGATGAGCTCAAGCAAACACCAGCCAAAGACATGACAGAGAGACGGGAAAGCATTTCCAGAGTCCAGCAATCGCAGAGCAGGAAGCTTATCCTGCACGGCAAGCTGCGCGCTGGCAAGACGTGCAGACGCGTCGAGGAGGGTCGCGTTATCAAGCAAATGCCGCTAACCAACGAAGCCCCTCTGGTCAGGGCGTGCGTCGCGCGCGGGGGCCGGCTTGACGGAGTGACTACACGCCGAGGCAAGAATCTTGGCATCTGTGCGTTTGAGCGCTAGCGGCCTCGCGGGAGCAGGCTCGCGAAGAACGAGCGATGTGTCATCTGCGCGTCGGCCCTTAAGGGCAAACGCCCGAAGTGGCTCATTCAGCTCAATGGGCGGGGGGCGCCCACCCAAAATAACCTGAAGTACATCGAAGAGAACAGGACCCGCAATGCGAGTCTGCTGCCAAGCGGCGCGCGGAAGCCCGCCAGGGCCTGGGGCCGTCGGCGAGGCACAACCCATCGTTCGCTCAATTATCTCCTGCGCCGGGTGTAGGCGGGTTCGAAGATGCCCGAGTGGGGCCGATTTCGACGCAAAAAACAGGGGCCCACTGGTCTCGCAGGGCCTGGGTCATTTCCGAGGGGGAGGCGAGAGGAACGCCAGAGGAGGGGTCCTCGAGGCCCTGGATCGGGAGAGTCGTGCCTTTCGGAGCCCAGAGTTTCCCCCCTGCGTCGCTCGGCCCTCATGTGTGCTCGAAGGCACTTCTTTTCGTAGGTTGGGGCGTGCTCCGCGCGAACCTGAAAATGAGCGGCCTCGATTCGTGCATCTTGAATATCACGCCTCAGCTGCTCGCATTGCCGACGAAAGTCCACGGGGGCGAGCAGCGAGACCGTGGAGGGCGCCACGTCGAGCATCATGTGATCTTTGGCAATCGGCGTGCGAATCGGCAGAATTGAAGTCAGCTTCGCGTCATCAAGGTGAACCGCTCGGGACATCGAACGAAACATAACCAAGCGAACCTCCGGAAGGGGGGGTCGCAGAGCGGGTCAGTTTGTCGCGGGCAAGTCGCGCGGCCTCCCTCATCAACCTCTTCAGCTCACGCCACTTGGGAATCGGCGGAAGCCTCTCTAATTCCGACTGGCTGATCAGCTGCTGGAGCATATCCTGGAGCTCCCTGGTCTTGCAGGGGAAGGCAGGTATAGCTTGCTGATCGCGAGGGCGTTGAGGCCGTCCACGGAAGGTGATGGAGACAGGAGCATGATCAGAGATGCCAGCTTCCTGCAGGCGTTCATGCCCTGTCAAAACAGTCGCAATGATATTCCATTGCAATCTTATCCATTGAGGCGTGGGTGTGACAACTTTGTCAAGAGCCGTTAACTTGTGCTCGCCAGCTATGTAATGCGTCGGCTTCTCAGGGTCGAGCTCCGTTCAGTCCGAGAGCGTGAGCCACCAAGACGCGCCATGCTCACGCGGCCGAGGCTGCGCAAGAAGACCTTTGTCGATCTCTGGAACATGAAGATGAGTGGGCGCGTCGGCCGAGAAATTGAAGCCACACAAAACCAATACTGTGACCCTTTCTGGACATTGTGCAGCAACTTGTGTCTCAGCAGCTATTCTGGCTGTCAGTGAATCCACCTGTTCCGAAGAATAACCAACATCGTGGATGTTGTAGCAGGCTAAACTTGTATGCTCTTGGCCTTCATGTGCAAGAGTGGATTTGATTGCAAACCGCTGAGCGCAACCAGGAACCAGCTCCGAGTATCTGATGCGTTCCACATCCATACCTGCTTGAAGTTGAGCTTTTGTCATTATCGGGAGAATCGTGGCCACGCCACCAGCCGTGTGAGAGGGGTTGGACGCCACCATACCGTAGTCTAGCCTGCGTTGATAGAGTTGAAATTCAAGTTCGGCCTGAGAGCCATGAGCCTCTTGCAGTGCAAAAATGGCATGATTACGGGGAAACTCGCGAAGTTTGTCACACTTCTTCTTTCTCATGCCAGGCTGATGGTGAAGGGGAGCACGTGTGTTCCAAATGCCGACCGCGATGTGTCTGTTGATATTGCTGGGGATGTCTTGCCATACATTCATAGTGCGGCTAAATGCGCCACTGGACTTGATCTTCCATCGCGTCAAAATGAGCAGCGAAAGCCTCCTGCACCGCTTTCTGGTCCACCTTCCTCGCACTGACAGACCCATAGTTCCAGAGAAGACTCGAACATGCCTCCATTAAGCCACCAGGCTGGACCGTGATCGTCGGAATTCCTTCGAAGTTGACGATGCCCTTGGTCCTGCCATCTCCTCCTCCTCCTCCTCCTCCTCCTCCTCCTCTGAGGGGGGCCCCCACATGCCCCCCGAGAGGCCACGGACACAGTCTACACACACGGCGAGAGAAATCTTGCGAGAAGCAATCCTGGGGCGCATTCTTCGCTGGTGCAGGGCTCCCTTGGATCCCTGGGGCCATCGGGGGATGCGACACTTCCGTGGGGCATCTGCTGTTTGGCCGATCTCTTATCCGATGCGCCTACTGCAAGCAAAAGCCCACGCATCTGGCACGCCGATGCGTGGGCCCCCAGAAAGGCTGCACCAGTTTTCCATGTCGGACCATTTCTGGCGGTCCTGGGCCCAGAACCCAGAGATCCGATGTCGTGATTTCTTCAATGCGGGGTCCCCAGAAGCCTCGACCCCTTCCCCAGGACCGGCTTTTCATCCTGAGTCGTTTTTTGACGGTCCTGGGGCCCGGCGAGGGCCCCTCGAGGCCGAAAAATACGAAAAACCTCCGTCGTGATTTTTCCGTACGTTGGAACTCTGGGAGCTGGCCCCCGCCGATACCCGAGAGCGTGGACCAGCTGCCGCCCCGAGGCCCTCGATGCGCCGACATGTCTGGGTCCAGGAGGTCTCGGGGAGGCGTCCCCGCCAGGGGGGCTGTCCAAGAGGGGGGTTGCCAATTCGATGGCCCGAGGCATGTGCACGGACGATGGGTTCTGTTGTTCCCGGCGTGCTTCAGGACCACATCCCAGAAATGCCTTCGAGCACCCAGAAAAGTACCAAAATCTCGTGTGCACCCGACATGCTGGCGAAGTGTCGAACGAGGGTCGCCTCCCAGGGCCCGACGCTTGAAAATCCTCCAGTTTCGGTACGTTCACGGCGCTCGAAATTCTTTCTGGTGATCAAGGCTAAAACAGGTTGGAACATCAGAAGGCCAAGGGATGTTGAAAGAAGGCCAGGTGCGCCTGAGCTCTCTGAGCCTTCGCGGCCCCAGCCGTGATATACCCACACGCACCCTCCTCCTCCTCCTCCTCGTCCTCCTCGTTGTCCTCCTCGTCGTCCTCCTCGTCGTCCTCCTCGTCGTCCTCCTCGTCGTCCTCCTCCTCCTCCTCGTCCCCCTCCCCCCCCTGGACGCCCCCGAAGGCCCACTCGGCTGCTCCTGTGCCCCCCGCGCCCCTGTTGGCATGAAGCAAGCGGGCCCTGAAGGAAACGGTTCTTCATCATGGGTCGTTCTCTGACCCTCTCGGGGCCCGTCGAGGGCACTGGGAGCTCGACTAGGGGCGGACATCCTCAGGGCAAGGAAGACACCATGCATGAGCACAAACTGTCGGAGGTCCGCGCGGAGCTCCGGACACGGTGATGGCTTTGGATGAGGAGCCGTTGGATAAGGCATCCAGGGCCTGGAAGCAGGAGGAACGCCAATCGAGGCTTGGCCATGGATTTCACCACCACCCTCATCGGATCAGGGATCCTCCTCAGGGTCTGACGCCTCGACCGCATGGTTATGCCGTTTGCCTTCTTCGACGTCTCCTCCATGGCGACCCCTGGGCTGAGGGGCAGCGGTATGGGGGTAGACATCGAGGTGGAATCGGCCACACATCGCCGATAGTCGGCGGTGGACAAACCTTCCTTTGTAAACCAATCTTCGGTGAAAACGGCCTAGGACCTAAACCGACGGACCTGGACCCGCAAAAATGACGGCCGCGACGCCGTCGCGAACCGAAAACGGCCAATTCGCTAATCGACGTGTCAGGGTAGGAGGTCTATCAACCTCCGGGATAGATCAGCGATGGGGCTCCCGATAGCGAATCCGGACCTTCCTGGGCGGGGTGGGGCAATCGGGCCCCTACCTGCGATGAGTGGGCCAATGGGGGTCGATGCATCCCCCTTGAGCCTATCTCACCCTAGCACAGTCCCCTGACCGATGTCTCCAAGGTGGTTTCCGGGCCGTCGCTCCGGCCTCCGGCGGCTGCTCGATGAGATCCTGGCACCCCCGAAGAGCTCTCGACGAGGTGCAGCTGATGAAAACCAACCGGGGCCTCGAAAGCTTTCGCATGACTCTCGATCCCTTTCTCGAGGGCTTCCCCCCCTCTAAGTCTTGCAAGCGGATCGCTGCCCCAGAGCTTCCCCGACCCCCCGGGGCCCCTGGGGTGGACGACCCGCCGCCGCTCCAGCCTGGCCGCGGGCCTCTCTCGGGGCATGACTGGGCGGTTGGGGGTCGATCCATCCCCCCCTGCGCCTCCTCCTCCTCCTCCTGCTCCTCCTCCTCCTCCTCCTCCTCCTCCTCCCCACCCTCTCCTGCTGCTGCTGCTCCTCCTCCTCCTGCTCCTCCTCCTCCTCCTCCTCCTCCTCCTATCCCCCCCCTAACGTAGCTATTGTTGCCCTTGGGTTTCCCCGACCCCTGGCCCCTGGTGCGGACGACCCGCCGC